CTGAAACAATCACGGAAGTGGACCACCACCTTGTTTGTGGAGGACATGCCATCCACTCAAGGTCCACTTTCACTCCTTCAGGGGAGCGCAGCTTCGTAGCTCCCGATGCATGGACGTGCCATCGACGCGTCCACCGAGAACACCAAGAGCCTCACCTTCGTCCACCCTTCGCGACGCCGCCCCCCAAGAAGAAGCCACCCCGACCTAAGCTGGGCGGGCGGTTTGGGGGGCGGTTCGATCGATCCTCAGCCGCCCGCGAGCGCGCGTTTGCGTGCGATGTGCGCGGTCGCGCGCGAGCGCGGGATCGCGAGGGCATCTACTCCTCTGCGGACCCTTCTTCAACGGCGAGGCGCCGATGGACGTCGGGCGCCGATGGATCGCGGGTTCGGGGGCGGGCGGTGTGCGGGGCGGTGCGGGGCGGCGGCGCCGGCGATGCTGTGAGATGCTATGACTATGAGGTTGGACAAGTTGGCGACCAAACAAAGATGTTTCTTTTTTCTCACGAGAAATACCGGTCTGTCATGGTCTGTCCTATTAGCCCTGTAAGAGTCGGAAAACCAATATCACTGATTTAGAGAGGAAAAAACATCATCCAGTCACTGGGCCGTGGGTATCGTGGGATATACCAATGAGATACTATTTGAGAGAGAAAACCTGATCATCCACTGGGCTCTGGGTCCATGGGAGATATACCGATATTACCCCAAGACATTCCTTTCAACTTCCACGGACGAAGCTGATCAGAAGTGGATCCAGTGAACCCTGAAGCAGCCAAGCAGCCAAGCCAACGATTGAACGTCACCACCTTCCTGGGTTTCAAGCGTTTATTTTTGCTGACTGTTTTGTTGGTTGGTTGGGCAAGGCTGTTGAACCCGAAGCCCTGAACCCACATCATCTTCTAAAACATCCACACAAAAGATCGCGCAGGAACATCGACTCAAAACATCCACCCATCCACTCTCCCCCCCCGCAAAGGATCCCCAAAAGGTCAAAAGGGGGCCATAAAATCACCATAAATCCACTATAAAATGAGGCTTTTCAGGCGGTTTTGAAGGGGGCCCGAACTCCCTTCCGCCACGAGGGTCCCACCGGTGGCGCGGTCTCCGCTCCGCGCCGACCTCCGCGTCGCGCGGCGGTGCACGTCGCAGGCGCCGGACTCGCTGCTCGTTTACGACGCCGCGCTGCGCGACTTCTCGGCGGCCAGGCGCGGCGGCCATCGGTCGAAGCGGAACGGGGAGCACGATGGTGGTGGTGGTAGTTGTTGTTGTGGTTGTTGTGGTGGTTGTTGTTGTGGTGGTGGTGGTGGTTGTTGCTGTTGCTGTTGCTGTTGCTGTTGCTGTTGCTGTTGCTGTTGCTGTTGCTGCTGCTGCTGCTGCTGCTGTTGTTGTTGTTGTTGTTGTTGTTGTTGTTGTTGTTGTTGTTTCCCCAAGCAGTTTACTGCTGGGGTTCTCCCTTAGGGAAGAAGACACTGGTCACAGCCTCTGGCCGTCCGGGTGTCCTCCAGTTGCCCTGTGCCCTTCTGTCGTCCTGGTGCAGTTCTGAGTTCTGATATCTTCTGATGCGTTTTCCTTGCCCCCCCAGCTCCTGGACACCAGTTTCCTGCTTCCCCAGCTCCTCCCCCAGCTTCCCTTTTTACACTTAAGATTGGGTTTGAGTGAGGCTTGGGAGCTTTAACAACACATATTTGGAATGTGTGAGAAATTCCAGTCGATTGGGTTGCTATCCGCTGTTGGGGTGCAAAGCTGGGTTAATCAACCATCTCAAGCAAAAAGGTTCGTTAAGCCGGCCGTACGTGGGGCGGTCTGGGAAATAGAACATGGTATTCGCATGTATTTGCACATGTCCCAACTCCCCCCATTGTGAACCAACCTTCTTCACGTAAAGAATCTCAGCAGACCAGTTGTGACCAGCATCTCTTTCTGTTTGGGGTTCATGCGATCAGTTCCTGACCCGGTGTGCAGTCGGGAGCAAACCACCAGGCAGTCGGCCATGAGATTCGCAGGCTGTGGCCATGACATTGTTTGGAGGAAGGAACACACTAGTGACTAGTGACTAGAGCATACTAGAGCACTCAAGCGTGCTGGTGGTCGTGATTCTTCTTCCTCACCTTTTGACATGGCCACACCTTTCTCCGGCGCCAGGAAGTTGCATTGGGGCTTCGACTGGCACGTTTGTGGCGTCGACTGCGGTCGCGGAGTGGGGTGCCGGGGTGACGGGGCCCACTTCGTGTGAGTGACATCGTCCACGTTTTGACGTGGTGAAACCGCTTCTCTGCGTTTTTGACCGCAAGTGTGCAGGCAGGTGATGAAGAGCTCAGAGGTCTTGTCTTTTTGAAACAACGAGTAAGACCTGTCTCACTGAGTAGAGCTAGCAGTGAGTAGAGCCCAGTGAGAAAAAGGATTTCACCGGTTGGATCCCTCCATTTTCAGTGAGGTTACGCTTCGCAGGACCATTTCTCCTGCATGATGTGCGACCCTTGTACCAGCACGGGGTCTCCATTGAAGGCCCTTTTGAAGGTATGCCTGTTGTTTTTGTTACATCTTCAGGAACACCCTAGAAGCAACCACTCATTGCGACCGGCCCGGAGAGAGCATTTCTGCGTGCACGTTCGCAAGGTCGTCTATTGAGCTGGCCCTGACATGCCCGAGGGCTCCAACCACATCCTCAGAAGGCGGTTAGACCCAGCCAAACCCACCCCAACCACCTTGTCAGGAGGTGGTTGGAGCCCTAGGGATGATAGCCAATCCAGGGCCGCCAGGCTGAGTCCATTTGATTGGATCTGAACCGTTTGAATGAATCCAGCAACAGTTCAAGAAGGATCATCCCTGGGTTGTTTGAATATGTTCCATGCATCCTCATGCCTTTGTGCCTGTCCCGCCTGATCAATCCTTACGAAGCCCAACGAAGGCATGGCACACGCCGTGTCCTGCTCCGGGTCGACCCGGCCGCCTTGCCAGGCTGCCACGATGTGGCACAGATCCTGGCGTTCGGGCAGAAGGCACCGAGGGGGGCACCTGGCCGGCCGCCCCACCGAGGCGGCCCCCCGGCCCTTGCTTTCGCGAAGGCCAATGTGAGTTGAACCAGAGGTGAGCATGAAAGGATACTATAGGCCTGGGGGCATCTCACATGGCGGAAACCATGTGAGCCTAATAGCCGATAGGGCAGGTGTCCCCAAGGAGGTGGAGGGCTTGACCTCCAACTTCTTGGAGCACTGGGGGACGACTCCTCCGCCGCGTTTCCCGCGGCCATGAGGTGGGCCTGGTCTCGGTGGCGCTGGAGGAGACGGACGGTGCTCGGGAGCCCGGAGGAGGGGGGGCGAAAGGCGGAGGTGCGGGGGTGGGGGGTTGGACATTGGCTCTGATCGAGGTGGCACCTCCATCGCCCATCGGGGGGTGGATGGTGCTTGGGGGCTGTGCTTGGGGGGTATGGCTGCGTCTGGATGAGTTGATGAGTACTTCGAGGGATTTCTTGGAAGATCTTGGGAGAAGGGGAAGAAGTGGAACGTGCCACGTTTTTGGAAGGACGTGGCGACTCCGTCCGAGCGCTTCCCGCACATCAAGAGCAACGTGTTTGTTTGGCAACCTGGAACTTGCATCCAAATATGGAGGCCCCTGGGAGTTAAAGACCATACCCTATAAGAATCCTTGGGCTGGCAGGGGTTGGACTCGACACCGAAACGCAGGGGTCGGCCGAACCAAACCCTATCTGCTTCGGGCCCGGATTCTGAGGGTAAGAAGAACGGTCTGACTAGAGGACCTGAAAGGCCATTTCCTTTACTTCACTATGCGAATGAAAAGTATACTGTAGTCTTTGGACTTCTAGGGGATGGAAAGGCAATGAATCCCCTCCTTCAAGCATGCGTTGAACGTTGGTTCAATACTAAGCCCTAGAAGTCCAGTTCGACTATATTTTGACCGGCTGAAGTAATTTAAAGGAAGTTCCCAGACTCAGTTCCCCGTTCGTCAGACCATTCTTTTTAGAGTCTTTGACTCCCAGGGTAAGTGAACGTCTTTGGAAGAGTTGGGGCTGCCCCCAGGTGGGCGGCCACAGCTGGACGCTCCTCGTGCTGCGGCGCGAACGGAGCTCCTCGTCCCCAAACGAGCCTTCGACCGGTCGGAGCGTACGGGGCGGTTTGGGAGGGGACGATGTCGGGACCACCGGCAGGGTACGGTACTCAGTACTCGTTTCCTTTGTTCGTTTCATGCTTGTGATTCTGTGAAGGATGGTTTTGGCTTGGTTTTTGCTGGTTTTTGATCGATTTTTTGCTGGGTGGTTTGAGGCTGGGGTGTGCAGCCGACAGACCCACAGCCAGTTTGTGTGAGTGCTGACTTGCAAGAACACCGAGTTGAATTGATTGACCTCAGCACCACAGGCTCACGAGCAAGAAAAAGAAGCTGATGCTTCCAATGCTTCTGAGGGTTTTATTTCACTTTGCAATTCCATGAACACAGGTTTCGCGCCCACGCCGCTCTGCGTTTCATGTCCCAGTTTCTGCCACGAATTCCTCTCAGCCAAGCTTCGCTGGACGCAGCAGACATCCCAAGAATTCCCTAAGACAGATTGAACTTTTGTCGAACTCTCAAAACCAAAGACACCCATGTGGACTCAAATCAGATCTTAAGTATTCTCAAGTCGGACCAGGGGCTGTCTGGAAGTGATTGCACGAGAAGATTGGCAATGCTTGAGTGTAACCATTCTGCTGTCCCGCTCAAGCTAAAAAGGTCTAGATGCCATGCGTTGGGAATCGTTGTGCCTGGCGCTGATTACTCAGGTGCTACAAGCTGGGCTTAAGAGTTCCCCCAGCACGGTGTGCTATCCCGAGACCCCTGAGGCTTCAGTGGACGCCAGGTGCCACTGCAGCTGCTACTTCCTGGGAGAGGACCAGGCCGTGATTACCTTGGGCTGCGGTGGGGTGATTGGTGCGCTAGGCGCTTCAGTGGCCTGTTGGTGCACGGGTTCCCAAACTTCTCCGTCATCGCCTCATCCGCGACGGCGGGGCCATGGCATCCTTAGCGAGCCTTCTTCCTGGACACACCCTCGCAGTTTACTACAGTGATGATGTTGTGTGGCATGAAAGACTAGTGCTATGGCAGCTGAAGCCTGGTTTTTGGTTCATCCTCACCCCTGATCTAGATCTCTATGCTGAGGACTTGCGGATGATGGGGGGAGATGGGCCTACTAAGGTAAAGCTGAAAGGTCATGACTTTCGTTACTGGAGTAGAGTGGGTGGTGCCTCCTATCGCTTTGCAGCCCCCCTTGACGGTGAAGATCGACTGAAGGGCTACATCCGGCAGGCTTTCCAAGAAGGCCTTCAGGCTCCAGACTTTGATCGAGCGTGGAGGCCAGCCAACGTTGTCACCGTGCAGGGTGCTCTTTGTCCCCTTCAGGACTACTTAGGTGACTTGGACCCGGCGGCGCTTCGTCGTCGGATCAATGGGAAAGGTGGGGTTTTGCAGCACGCTGGCCAGCTACCCAGCGGGGTGGTTGTGAAGCCCATCGAGCCACCCCCGGAGGACAAAATTTGGTTGGCTATGGAGAAGATAGATGAATTCCATTTTGGTCAAACTGTAGAGGTGATTGATGATCGCAATGGATTGGTGAAAACTCGTAGTGGTTGGGTCAAGGTAGAGCTTGTTGACGTTGCTGCCTCCCCAGAGTTCTTGCAGAGCCGACGGCCGGCCGCATTGAAGCCCACGACTTTGGGTGGAGCTGGAAGTGATGAGCCTGCCGGTGACAGCGGCGGGGATGCCAGGACGCTGTTTGTCGACTTCGATGAGCAGAGCATTCGCTACAAAGAGTGGCGCCAGGTTGTGCATGAGTGTGTCGATTACAGTTATGAAGATTGGCCCCACTCTGGACCAGCCACCGTGCATCATCTGTTGAAACACTTTCTCAAGTATGGGGGGGACCCCAAGCAGTGGTTGGAACTTTGGTGCCGACAGAAGGGAATTGCAGATCAGGATCGTGTCAAGCACGAGTTGAGGTGCCTGATGGAAGTCTTTCACCTGGCGGGCACGTATGACCAACTCAACCTCCCCGTGCTTGCCTCCATGGAGACAGTGGCCAGGCGGGTCCAGTGCATCGTGGATGCCTATTCGTTGGGGGGGCTCATCCAATCCAGACTGGGGCAATGCGAAGCTGTTCACCGGATATGTTGGTCCAGACGATTTGGTGATGCCCCAACTGAAGACGTGGGCCGCCCGAAAGGGCAAGGAGGAGGTGGAGCTGTATCAAGCAAGGAACCGCATGAAAGAGCTCAAGAAGGCTACCTCGCCGTCAGATGAGGCAGCTGCAGCTTTGGCCGATGGAAACCTACCGAGTGGCGGCCCGCCCAAGCCCAAGCGAAGAGCAAGGGGCAAGGGGCTCGAGCCGCCAGCGAATACATGAACCAGGAGATGGGGGAGGGTGCTGTCGGTCCAGGCCCCTCTCCTTTGGCTTCCTCAGGACCTGTTTCAAATTTTGTTGGTGACGTGATGGACACGCTTTTCCCTCTGCCCAGGCCACCTCCATTGAAGATGATCAGTGGCCTTAGCAGCGGACGCCGCCAGAGATTGGCCAAGCGTGTGAAGCATCGCCATGACTATATCGAGATGATTTCTTCTCTTAATTGGATGCATGTTGGCGACTTTGACGCCCAGCCTACTTCGGGACCGTCGGCTTTGCAGCTGCGGGTGCTCAGGCGATTGGATGAATTGGTTGGGCAGGTGGACTACTCGGACTTACCGGGTGGGATGCCGTCGCAGGAGGCAGCCTACAAAGAGCTGCTCCATGGGTTGGACGGCTACTGTGAGCCATCCACTCCAGCTTCTCTCGCGCCCTTCAACCTCGAGCTCATTTCGCTGCCTGGCGACCTTTCCACTGCCCCTGCGGCACTGGATTTGCTAGACGGCGATGACCGTCGATACCTGGAGGTGCAAGAGCGCATGTTACGATCTGGCGATCAAATGGTTTCTGACTCACACATTTCTCCTTATTGGGATCCTGCTTTGAAGAACAATCAGCGCAACTATAGGAAATTCATCCACAAGCTCAATTCTGTTGGATACCTGGATTTCACCCTGTCCCCTTGTCAGCATGCCGGTGTGTTTTTCGTTTGGAAGAGTGATAAGCAGAAGATTAGGATGATCATAGATGCTAGGCCCGCCAATGCAGTTTTCCAAGAACCCCCTGGTGTTGCTCTTGCCACAGCCGAAACATTCTCCAAGATTGAAGTCGACTTTGGCATCAGAGCCACGGGCCAGGCAGAGCTTCTCGGTCCCCCCTTTGGACTGCATGTGGGGCTCTCGGATGTGAAAGACTGCTTTCATCGGATCCGGCAGCCACGGTGGTTGTCAAGATACTTCTGCCTGATGCCGATTGAGGCCAGACACGTTGGACTCACGGGGAAGCTGCTCGATGGTCAGGTGCTGCAGTCGAGCGATCTAGTTTATCCCATGCCTGGTTCACTTTGTATGGGGTTCAGTTGGTCTCTCTATTTTGCACAGAGGATTAGTGAGCGGCAGATGTCACTTGTGCCTTCGTTGAAGGACTCCTCGCTGGTCAATGATCGATCTGGGCCAGCGGTGTTCCCGGCGGAGGCACCCTCTTCCATGAAGCACTTTGTGTATGTTGACAACCTGGGGGTCATGAGCGGTAGTGTAGAATGTGTTGCCCAGGGCTTGACTGGGCTAACAGAGCAGTTCACCAACCAGAACCTCCTGCTCCATCCAGGCGAAATTCAACACTCCAAGATCACAGCCTTGGGGATTGAGATGGATGGTCAACAACTCCTCACCCGCGTTGCCACCGGCAGGTTTCATCGTGTTCGTCAAGGTCTCCGACACCTTCTTCGATGGAAGCGCTGCACAGGCCGGGCCTTGGAGGTTATTGTTGGTCATTGCACCTATTGTGGGTTGGTCAATCGTTGCACTTTGAGTGTGTTCCACAATGTGTACAAGTTCATCAAGTCTTCATACACTACTTCATCTAGTTTGTGGCCAAGCGTACTGGCCGAGCTCAGGGCTTTTGCCGGGATGATGCCGGCGCTCAGAGCAGATTGGTCCAGAGCTTGGAGCAGAGAAGTGGTAGTGTCTGATGCTAGTGAAGAAGGGTTTGGTGTTTGTCGCACTCATTGGGATTCCTCTTCAACTGGTAGGGTTGGTAGATGCAGCGAACGAGATCGATTCAAACGAAGCGGTGGTCACAATGCCAGAGAGTCCGCGTTGTCTGCAGCGGGTTTCGTCCGGGATGAGGTGACTGGGCGATGGATCTCCGGGGAACTGGGGGATGAGGATTATTTGGAGGCAGCGGGTTGGCGGTTAGATGCTTCTTTCCCTGAAGTCCCTGCACACCAGCTGAAGAGCTCTGAGTGGGTCGTCGCGCGTCAGGCCCGCTGGAGCCGACCTGAACACATTGTGCACTTGGAGGCCCGGGCCCTGGTGAAGTCAATGGAAGTGGCAGTGCACGATTGCGGAAGCTTCGACGCTCGACAACTCCTTTTGGTAGATTCGATGAGCGCTGCGCTGGCTTTCGATAGGTGTAGGAGTCGCAACTACAGGTTACTCAGGCAGATACGAAAGTTCTGTTCCTATTCTATTGGATGCAATGTGGGGTTTGCAGTGCGTTGGATACCTTCGGAGATCAACCCAGCTGATGAACCCAGTCGAGTGTTCCCAACAGTTCCACAGACATGCAAGAGTAGGTTACCTCCTCACCTTCTGAAACCTCTGAGCTATGGCGCCAAAGAGAAGAGCGGTGTTGTCACCTCCCTCATCGGCCCCAAAGGCAAGCCCCCACCGCTCTCGGGTCCTTTCAGTGCCAACGACGGTGAAGCAGTCAGACAAGCGTCTCAAAGTACAGAGCTCGGTGCTGCAGAAGCCCCCGAACGCGGCAAAGTTGATGCAGCCTCCACCTGTCGAAAGGGTCAAGCTGGAGGAAGTCCCGGACACCATGGGGAATTCTCGCAAGAGGCAATTGTCCGACAGCGAGGACAGCTCGACCAGCTCGGACCGCCCGGGTCCCTTGAAGAGACAGCAGTTGTTGGCTCGCAGGAGCAGGAAGCGCTTGAAGAAGTACGTGGACGAGATGATGGAACCCACGTTGCAGGGATTGAGTTTGTTGGAGAGAAAGGCAATCAGTGCCAATTCAGAACGGTACTACAACCAGGAATACACAGCACTGAAGGGCTACATCTCCGCTCGGCGGCTCGGCTTTGTGACCACGGTGCAAAAGGATGTTGGGATCAATGCATACTTCAACCACCTTTTCCTGGAGGGCTATCCAGCTCACCGAGGCGAAAAGATACTGGCATCGTTTATGCACCATCACCCGGACTTCAGCCGGTTTGGATCGCAGAGACTTCCTCGGACTTATCGGGCCCTCAAGGGCTGGCGAAGACTGAGTCCAGGAACCTCGCGAAAGGCATGGCCCCTGTCCGTGTGGAGTGCAGTGGCTTGCGAGATGAAACGAGTAGATCACCTCCAGATGGCGCTGTTCACCATGTTGGGCCTGGCGTCCTACTCAAGACCGAGCGAACTCCTGAGGTGTCGAGTCTTCTCCCTTGTCAAGCCTACGCCCTCAGTTACCGATCACTGGTGCTTGCTACTGAACCCAGAAGAGCGGCCAGAGAGGTCCAAGGTGGGCGAGTTCGACGACTCTCTTGTCCTCGACTCAGCTTATCTCAAGCCCTGGGCTCCACCGCTGTTGCGGCACCTGAAGTCCAAGCCTCCAACCAGCCTGTTGTGGGACTTCGACTATGGTCAGTATACGAAGGTCTTCGGCCAGATCGCCAAGCAGATGAATATAGACCTCACTCCGTATCAGCTTCGACACTCAGGACCAAGCATCGACCGAAGCAAGAACGTTCGATCGCTCCTGGAGGTTCAAAAGAGAGGCCGATGGAAGTCACACAAGAGTGTGGCAAGGTACGAGAAGTCAGGCCGACTTGCAGCCAACTTCCAAGCCATGCCCTTGACTCTGCAGCAGCACTGCCTTGCCTGCGAGGCACTTCTCGGGGATGTGTTGCTCGGCCGGGCCCCCGCTCCAAAGATGCCTACGTTGCCAAAGGCCTGAAGGGCCAGTACGTAGCGGATTTGTTTTCTGGGCATGGAGGAGTCGCAAAACAATGTCGACGCCTTGGGTACATGACCCGTGAATGGGAGCTCGCACATGACAATCAGTTTGACCTCACAAAGCCTTCTGTCCTTCGAAAGCTGAAGCAAGACATAGATCGGTCACAGGTGATTGCCGCTATGCTCGCTCCTCCTTGCAGTAGTTTTTCTGTCGCCAGAGATCGAACTTGTGTCATTCGAACCAAAGATTTTCCCTGGGGGTTGCCCAGTAGCATGCTTTCGTCTAGCGATCAAGAGAAAGTTCGCGTGGGAAATGCTTGTTTTCGTGCAGCTCTTCAAATCATCAAGAGGTTGAATGTGCACAGGGTTCCTTGGATCCTAGAGAATCCAGTTAGCTCTAAGTGCTGGTATTTGCCTCAACTCAGCAAACTGGAGGCATCGCCACTTTGCACGGTTGTTATCAGTGACTTCTGCCAATTTGGCACTTTGTGGCGAAAACGTACCAAGTTTCTTTGCGGTAACCTGGACACTCAGGATGTGGCCCGTATTGGGCGACTATGTCGAGGCCGGGGGGTGTGCGACCGTACAGGCCGACAGCACTTCCAACTGACAGGATCCAATCACCAAGGCGTACCATGGACACATATTGCACAGCCATACCCTACTCTGCTCTGCAAGCAATTGGCCTTCTCCTTGACTGCCCCCTCCCACTATTGACCCACCTCTTTCTGGTGAACATTCCTGTTTTGGGATATGGTTTGGGGATCTCTGTGGCTCTTCCACTTTGTCTTTGCCACCATGTTTGAGT